CTGAGTTCATTTCAGTCTTTCTGGATGGTGTACATTCTCTCAACACTCCATTTGATATGTCTTTGTTTATAAGATAAATTCATATAAAGGGAATATTCAGTTCAAGACCTACGTTCAGGGAAACTCACAGATTTATTTTTACTCAGCTCATCATCCTCAGACCTTCATCCCCCTAAAGCTATCACCAGCAGAGGTCAGTTTGTGGTAGGTACCACATTATGGAATATTGTTTCCCATTTAGCAAAAAGTGGTTCCTTCTTAAAATGGTACAAAAGATGCTTAAAGGACCATTAAACTGCTGTTTTACAACTGTAACACACTCAAACACACCACTTACATTTTTGCTTGTTGTTGTTGTATATTGTGTCTCATTATTAGATTGCCCTCACTTATAATCCAGTCATACTATATTCTGTGTTTTTTGTTATTCTTGTCATTTGTGTGTATTTGTGCAAAATAGATTAAACTAAAAACTGTACCTTGTATTCGTGCAGCAATCTTTTGACGGCGTCCTCATCTGTCAGGTCACAGCGTAGGAGGCGGGGTCTGGCCCTCCTGTATCCAGTCCCGATAACTAACCAGCCGCTGTTCTGAAACTCTCTGCAGACAGCTCGACCCAGAAGACCCGTTGCCCCGGTAACCAGAACCCTCGGAGCAGGGACCATAGCCTCCTCCTGGAATACATAGTATTACTATCACTACTACAGGTAGCACTACATGTACTACTACAATCAGCCCTACATTTCTTTCCTGATAGAATCTTAGATTGTTAAATAAAATTGCCTGTAGTGATCAATAAAATCAGAACAGAAGGTACCGTAAGTATAGAACATTGACAGTTTATATAATAAAAGAGCTTCTGGGTCTGTGTTGTGCAATAAACCTGCATTCTCTCTAACAGCCGGCAGGAGGCATCTCCACTCTGATAGTATTGAGTCTTATGGAGAAGTTGATGAGCTCAGTAAACAGTTTCCTGATGAGTTTCTGGTCTCAGTCTCTAGTTTCAGTCTTCTTCCATACAGCATGATGTTCATTTAGTAGACTGAACCTTTAGTTCACTTTATTCCAAACCACAGTGTAACATCACACAGTCTGGTTGTCCAATACACCGGAATAAATAGCAGCGTTAGCACCTACATAGCTGAAGCCTAACTACCTACAGAGGACTGTGTCATCCCCCATCAATCTGTTGTAGCTCTGACTCCAGTCGGGCTTCATCTCCATGTTGGTGTTTACATTCCAGCGGAATGGTCACATACATTGGAGTTGAGCTGTCTCATGGCGTTGCTCTCCTGCTCACACAGGATCTTGCTGTCCAAATAACAGCAAAATGTGTTGTGGAACCAAGAGCTGAAGAGAAATAGTAGAGAGAAACAACAGAATCTGATCCATATCGATCGCACTGTTTGACAGTTTGATCTGAGTTTGGTGCGTTGAGCTGGACGGACTTTACTGAGGAATGAGCTGTCCAATCACAAGGTAGCCCCGCCCTAAAGTCATTACCCTGCTTTATGGTCTGTTTATCTAAATGGACCCAATCAGT